TGTATTTGGATCCTGGCCCATACCATTGATTAAAAGAGATATTTTGGGCCTCTGCTGCACATAATTTTTTTTAATCTGTCTGGCAAACTCCCCAACTTCATCAAAGTGCAAAATCATAGAGTACTGTTTTAATAACCCTTTTCCTGTCATTAATAGATGATTATGAAAAAAAAAATTCTGAAAGAGTTTCTCATACTGTTATGCTCTCCTGCAGGTGTGGGTGTGCCGCTAATGCTGACATATGTCTATGGGGTCGTCCCAATGTCACTCTGTAGGAATGGTTGGTGTCGACCGCAGAGTGAGCCACCTGAAACACACAAAATCCAACTGGAGGACCTAGCCAGCTGTGAGTACAGAGTAGAAAAGAATAGTTTGACATTTTGGGAAATATGCTTATTTGCTTTCTAGCTGAGAGTTAGATAATTGGAATTTAGCTTAGCTTAGCATAAAGACTGCAAGCAGAGGGAACCATCTAGCCTGGTTGTGTGCAAAACTCAAAAATCCATCTCTTAGCACACCTTTAACGGGCATTAATATGTTGTAGCTGCTTGGTTTAATCTGTACACAAACTGTAATATAAAAATGACAAGTTGTGGTTTCATGGGGAGTTAAGTGCTGGAACTATTTCTTGGTGAGCAGCAGCTGGACTTCTTGTAGTCTCCACTGGTTGCAATCAGTTAGCTTCACTGCATCTGTCAGTAAGCTTTAGAGGGGCTGGTGAAGCATCTCCAGGCTCTAGCTTCATATTATAAGCTAAATACAAAAGCAAATAAGTGCATATCCCAAATTATAGAGCTATGCCTTTAATAATTGTAGTAGTAGTAGTAGTAGTAGTAGTGTAGTTAAGTTAAGGACTCTTGACATAATTACTAGGTGCATTGTAATGTTTTGCCCCAAAGCGCTGCCTGATCTGATGAAATTTCAACTTCTCTTATAGACCTTCTATTCTCTCATGTAGTCAGTGACCACTGGACGGGTCAGAACAACCCCACGCTCAGCGACACCAGCGTCCAGGAAGTCAGAGTCAGTGTACAGGAAGTGGGAGTTCTCCCCAGTACAAGCACCACGCCCCCGGAGCTAGATAGCTATGAGGAATTGGATGAAGCCACAAAACACCATGGATACACCCAGCAGGACAGCCAATCAGACTGCAAGGTGGTTATTGTGCCTGACATCAAGGTTGATGACACACACACGCTTCCTTCAAGGTAAATGTTGCCTCAGCCTCTGTTTCTACACCTATCTTTATGTTTTTAGGGAGTTTTTTAGCCATGCTAATAGAATGGCTCTAAGGATGGTTGTCTGTTTGCCGGTCCACCACTTTGGTCCAGACTAACTAACTGTTTCGACCACTTTTGGATGGTTTGGGATATAAATTTGGTATACATATTCATGTTCCCCTGAGAATGATGTGTTAGAATTTTGGTGATCCCTTAACTTTTCATCTTGCACCACTGTCAGGTCAAAAATGTAATTTTTCTCAACACTGTGGTTTATAGATAGCAAGTGTTAGCATGCTAACATCATAAACTAAGGTAAACATGCTAACCCTCATACCTGACAAGCATCGGTATTTTAAGCATTTAGCTGAAAATGAATGGTTCCACAAACTATCCAGTATAATTACATATTAAAGGGTTATTAACCCTAACCCTAACCCTATACACACATACACACACACATATACTGTATATTTATTTATTTATATATTTATTTGCTTCATGATAGATTCTTAGTCTTGTTCCTTAATTTTTTTCCAAAAGCTTTATTAAATTGTAATACCTATATCTAAGCATATAATCCTCAAGTCAGAAACACTGTAAATGCCTGGCACTCTTTATATTGATTTCTTTATGTGTTTTTACTGTCACCACAGGGAAGGAACCAATATTGAGGTCCGTGTGGAAATTGAGACCCATCCCAGAGGCGCCCGCCAGTCCAGCCTAAGTAGCATCCTGTCTAGCCGAAGCTTGTCAGTGGAGTCCCTGGGACACGTGCAGTTCCAGTCCCATGACTACCTGCGTGCCTCAGAAGTGGAAGAAAGACAAGAGGGAGGAGGAGGAGGAGGAGGAGAAGGAGAAGAGCAGGAGGGAAGAGAGAAACCAGGAGGGAAACCAGGAGGAGATGAAGGGACATTTTACCCAGTCTTTGAAATAGACAGTATATGAGGTCCTCCATTGCAGGCTTTGTACTTGGTTGAAGATTAGTCAGGTTTTATGGAAATAAACAAATCCATGAGCCGACATGTCACCGGATTGACCTGAAAATCGTTGTCCAAGGCCACCTCCTGCTTCTAAGACAGGCCCTCCCACCAGTTGCCTTCTAGCTCCAGCCTCTAAGGAAGACGCGGGTTAAGAGAGAGCAAATGAAAAAGTGTGTGAGAGTGTTTGTATGAGACAAATAGCATGAGACATAAGAATTGGAGGGGGATAAACTGTAAAGCAGACAGGATAGCATCCATCAATGAATCTAAAACAGAAGTGACTGAGAGCATGTTAGCTGACTAGTTCAGTCTGTTTTCTTTTCTATGTCCTTTCTGACCTTACTCCCCTATGATAAATCTATTTCATGAAGCCCTCTCTTCCTCTGGCTGTATACTTCTACTTCTTTTAGTGACCTAACCTCCCTCTCCTGTTACAAATAAAGAGACCCCACAAGCATGATTTGTGTTATGGGGGATTAAGAATCTAACAACTTTCGTGTCACCAAGTAAATATCAAAATCTTCTAAAGCCAAGTCACGAGACAGTAGGGGTGATTTCTTTTCTACCTGAAGAATATCTCCAGTATTTTAAGCTGCAGTGGTCACACCTAAATTGGGCAACCTTAAACAGAAGACGCATGCTTCACTGTTAGATTACTCTTTTGTGAAAGAAGTCCAGTTGAAAATTACATCTGAAAACTGTTGAGGCCTGTAACTGTTGTTCTCTATTGGAGTAAAAAAAAATGTGCTCTGTGACATTATGGCAGTGATTGAATTTACTGGAGGGCCTATAAATACCATTAATTATAACTATTAATCTCAAATCCACAGTCTTCCATGGAAGAAGGCAAGGGGCAATGTCACTTTTGGATTGTCTTAGTGCAGCTTTTAGCCTTCACGAGGCTATTTACATTTAAACTGGGGAGAGAGACATTGCTTCAGTTTGTAAAAAAAATGCTCATTCTAATGCGGACACTTCTGCGCATTAGTGACAACAACATGGCAGCAACACTGCAGTCTTTTTCTGAAGAGTCTTAAATTTAAAAGTAGCTGCATGATTCTACTACTTGCTGTGTATCCAGGATATCACATGAACACACACACACAAGCGGATTCACACACATGCCCACAAGCACCGCAGTAAAGTAGTTGCAGTAGTGTGCGCTGCTGAGAGCATTAAATATAAACTAAAGACCCTCTCAAATGATCACAGAGCACCAAAATTACAACAGCAGCATGCCACCTCAGGCTAAACTCTAATAATCCCTTCTAGATGATTTATGAGAAACACATGACTATACATGCTCTGCTTAGCTTCCTGAGTGTGAAATACTTGTGAGAGATGAACTCGGACATGACATGATAACCTGTGCTGGGTTGTGGAGAGAAACTGAATAAAGATTTCACCATGAAGGATAAAAACACAATGCACGTTTTGTGTCTGTCACAAATTGATTTTTCTTTCAGTGGAAGTTCAACTGAGAGTTGTTTCCTGTTTCCCAATATGGCACATGTGGATAAATGTTTTTTTTTTTTTGTTTTTTTTGTGTCTTTATTGTATTGCTTTACAGTAAAAGTACAGAAAGGAAACTGACAGATTATTGTAGTCATCTTAGACCGGCTGAAAGTCTACTTCAACACGTTTTTCCCTCCCCTCTTTCTAATACTTTTTTGAAGTGAGATGATCCAGTAATTCACAAGAAAAAATCAAACTTCAGAGTATGAAAACATAAACAAAAGTTCAAATGCTCATATCGCCAAATATTACCATGCTTACGCAGTGTGTGCAGTGAGTGAAGGTGGGTAACAACAACACTGTAGTAACTGGTTGCAATCAATGGAGGGCGCCAACATACAAAAAAAAGAGAGAAAACTTAAAGCATTTGTTTCTAATGAAGCCAAGTTTTGTGGCTGTTAGTTGATCATTTATGTCCAATGAGATAGTTTACTTAAGTAGCAACACCACAGTGTGGAAAGACTCTATTACAAGTAAAAGCCATGCAGTCAAAATTTCACTTAGCTAAATGCATACAATTATAAAATACTCAAGTACCAAAAGTATGCGACTCATACAATATTCCATCTCATAATAATGTTAAAATATTGGATTATAATTACTGGATGCATTCATTACCTTCCTGTAACAGCTGGCAAAGGTGGAGCTCATTTTAATTTATATACTGATGGGTGGCTTGTGATCAGGTCTCATCTTGACCTATAATAATACATCATAAATATATTTGTTGAATATATTTAGCATTACAATTCAGAATCCATCGGAACTTATCTCTGAAACATGGTGGAGTAGAAATATAAAGTAGTAAGTAAAGCCCCTAAAAACTAGAAGTACAGCACTTGAGTAAATGTACTTTTTTCACCACTGATAATAACTTACACTTTTAATTATATCAATAATCAAAACAACAAGAGCGAGTTGTGTCCAAAGCAGGTCAATAATAATCACGTTAAAGGGATAATGCAACCTCAAAAACTTGGCATCCACCACAAGTCAAAACCACAGAAAACTCCTACGAGGCAAAAAGCTCATTAGTGAGTGTAAGTCCCGCACACTGCAATAAGGCTGTAATGGTCCCCCCCCCACAACCACACAACCACACACACACACACACACACACACACACACATTGGAAGGAGGCTGCTTATGGAGGTTGGAGGACACGCCCTTAACTTTGGGAGCGGTGCAGTAGGTGCACATGCTGCTCCTCAGCCGGCTATCAGTCTCTGTGGGGGCAGAGCAACCGAGAGCCATTCAGGGGTGGGAACCCGCGAGGTCTCTCTCTCTCTCTCTCACACTCTCTTTCGCCGTTTTCCTCTTTGGCGTATTCCGCCGTCGAGCTCAGCCCGCTGTATTTACCTCCCTGTGGTCCCGGAGAGACTATAAAAAAAGCGGGAGGGTGGGGGGAGAGTCCACCTGCCGGAGAGCAGACACACCTCGGGATGGATGCCCTCAAATCCGCCGGCAGAGCGATTATCAAGAGCCCCGGAGTTCCGCGGCACACATGGGGAACTTCAAAGCACGAAAGTGAGTGAGGCAGCGGAGTGTGTTGGAAATGTTTGGATGTGGTTACGGTTGTTGGAAAAGCTTCTGGCGACGTAGCAAAGGGCAGTGAAAATGTACCAAGAGAGGGGGAGAAGGACAGTGTGTGCCTCTGGCTGTTCGTAGTAAGCCAGTGGACTGTTGATGGAGCTTTTGTTTGTCTTGTTGCCAACTGTATCTGAGCTGTGGCGTTACAGGCTGTACGCTGGTTTTATTGGGAAGTCTCAGCTGGAATTGCTTTACTCCACTTCCTTCTAAAGGGATCTGGTTTGATCGAGTTAATTCAAACTACCACTAATAACCGAAATAACCAAACTAACTAATAAGGCAAATAATCGACTAGTCGATAAACATGGGAAAAATAAATTGGCAAAAGTTTTTTTTTTTTTTACTAAGGATTGGTTGTTTGTTTCATCAAGCAAGAAATGGCAAATCATTTCTGGTTCCAGCTACTAAAATGTGAGGGTTTGCTGTTTTTTATGTGTCTGTTTTATGTAATTTTGAATAAAACATTTGAATATTTGGGGGTTTGAAGTCATTTTAAGACATCACCTAGGCTCTTAAATGTGAACTAATAATCGAATAATCAATTAAATAATTTACAGATTAACTGACAATGAAAATAATCATTTGAAGCAGCCCTAAAGTCAAATACTATAACCAGAGATTAATATACTGAAGTAAAATCATTTAATTTTAGACCCAACTCTGAATATACCTTAAGAAATATAATTGGAATATTAGTCTATAGGGATTTATTTTGTTAGTTTTGGCACTTTTCTGTCTCCCTAAGGCACAATGAGGTGGTTCACAGTATAATACTGCAAATAAAAATTCCTTTTAAAGGTGTTTTTAACCTGTGGAGGTCATGTAAGAAGGACCTGAGATTGATGGGTAGATGGGGAACATTCAGTGACATACAGTACATTGATATACAGTATAATTCTCTGTTTTTCTGTTTTTCCCTTGTTACTACAGTGTGAAGTACAGTGTGTTGTGAGCTCTAAGTGAAGGGTCAGAGCAGCAAACCTCATCACACCATCAGTGACAGGCGGAGAGTAAGGGGCTGCTCGACTGCCCGCAGCTCTGCTGTCTCACTGATGTGTGAAGTGTTGTCTTGAACGCTCCCTCCCTGCAGCTACATCGCCTGCAAGCTTCTCGCTGCCATAAATGCTAGCACGCTGGTGGTGTTTTTTTTTGTTTTTTTTGCCTCATCCTGGATTCCCGCTTAGTGAATAATCAGCCGCCCATGCCGGCTTCTATTAAACACGACTGATTAATTTCACAGCCAGGAAGATGTGCTTGGTTTCTTCCCTCTCTCTAGGAAATGTTCTACATACATTATTGAATACTGAGTATTGAGTCTGTGGGATTTAAAAGTTTTCTCATTGGATTAGGGCTTTAATGAGTCTCTCAGATGGCTTTGCATGCATTACGTTTCTGAAGATGTCATGTGACGGGTTGTCCTAAATGGGTAAGTCTGTTGATGGCTGCTGGTCTAAAACTTCTGATCTTGGGGTTTTTTGTGCAAACATTGATGGATGGGAGTTGTTATTATTTCCCTCAACATCACCATATTGTCCATCATCACCATGGTGACTTTATGATGACAAAAGCTGACAAACAAGCCATCTTCCATTGAAAGACATTGTGTGTGTCACACTGCCTCTGCATTGTGCTTTTCTTCTCTTGCTCTCGTTGGCATCAGATAGAAGGAAAAAAGCAGGAGGATCTTGTAAGAGCAGAATCCAGCTGGGTTTCAGCGCCTGATGACAGAAGCAGTTTGTGTCAGGGAGCCACCAGAGGAATCAGGCTGGAAAAATGTGAACACAGCAGTCACAAACAGTGCAGACAGACAGGGTGACTGCTGATGTCCAGAAGCTACTTAGCAGGCAATTTGGAGAGAGGACAGCGTCTGTATGCCAGCGTGTGGCAATGCGTCAAAGCTGGCTGCCGGAATGCAAATAAGGCAATATTGCAGCTGCTTGGCACATTCACACAAATTAGGTGTGAGTAAAGTTTGGAGGGGAAAAAAGGAGACAAATCATTTGTGACCTGTCTCCCGACTCGAGGAAATTTCATGCAGAATGTGGACGTTATTGACAATATGCTGTTAATTTCTGTATATTAACTGTCCCTTGTCAACCTGTTCACTAGTATGATTATGTAAAGACATAATGTAAGGACATGGTCATATAATGGAAAACCACAATAAATTTGAACTGCCATCAGGACATGACTTTGTGTGGAAAGATCACGTGTTAAATATGTTGTCAGTGTTCTGTCATGTGTTACAACATTAGTGCGTTGTTTTAAATGAGGCTGTAGTGTGAAGGTGAGATGAGACGCAAGCATTTGACTGGATGGTGAATTGAGAGCTGCACATAGGGGGGAAAAAGCTTTTACTAAACATACCGGCATACCAGCTACAGTAAGGTTGAACATTCCCCTTGGCCCCTTGACCATTCCCCTTACGTTGGTAAATGACCAATTTGTCTCAAAGGCCCCTTTCAGACACGCACATCGTTATGTTAATGGTGGTTTTACATGTCGGTCTAATGTCTGAATGAGCACCAGAGTCACTGGGTACTGGGTCAAGTAACATTTCTGCAACACGTACAACACAGTGCACACGTCTGAATTAAATGCTGTTAGTTTTAACGTTAAATAGGCTTCAACAGCAAGGTAAAATGCATAGAGATTACATGCATGCCTTGCAGTGTAACAACTCCATCCAATAACGATCACTATTTATGCACAAGGAAAATAAAAATGGGTTAATAAATCAGTCTATAAGTCTAAGAGAAAAGTGAAATGTATACTAGCCATGTGAAAAGGTACTCTTTTCTTAATAAACAGGCAGAATAATTCATTTTTACTCTACCTGACTAACATAAAAAGATCTATTTCTGGAAATGTATTAAACCAGTCGTTAGTTCTTTGGCCAGCAGAAAACTGACATGTACAGCACTTTCCCATCGCCCCTCGTGGCCGTCCGTTGTCATCTGTTGAGGTCAAAGCCACTGGCAGGACGGAAGAGGACACAGCGTGTGCCTGGAGTACAAGCCATCCCTTTGGATCATGTCACATAGCAGCAGTGCAGGCCTCTCTGTATCTCAGAAGTCACACACACTTGCCCTTGGCACCAAGGACATCCATGCTGTGCAGTTTGCATCCATTTAAAATTATGTAGCTTTGGGACAGACTC